GGACCCTTCCTGTTTCCCTCTGTGTCTTGGAAAGACCTGTTTACATCTGATTATTCATTCACAGTTGATGCTATTCTGTTTTGTTTCTGATTGTGTGAGAATGTTATGAAACATGGAACTTGAGTAAGCTATTATCTGGAAAACAGTTAATATTAACAGACAAATATTGGAAAAATCTGAGAGTGGTAGCAAGAGAAATTTTCTCTTGCTTTTGAATAAAATTTATCATTCCCTTTGGGTTTTCATAGTTTAAATAGTGAATTATGCCGGGCATGGTGGCACAGGCCTTTAATCCCAGCACTCGGGAGGCAGAGGCAGGCGGATCTCTGTGAGTTCAAGGCCAGCCTGGTCTCCATAGCAAATCCAGGGCCTGTCTCAAAAAGACCAAAAAAAAGGTGAATTATAATTCATCACAGAGTTAGGAAGAAACAGTATACTCTAGATCTCTTAAAAACAAGGAAATTTTTACTTCAGGTGAACTGTGTTTCTTCAGGTGAGTCTCTTGAAAGGCCTTGAAACTATAGAATAATTATAATAGAGACTATGGAATTCTTATTTTTGAGACAAGTTCTTACCATGTAGTTCAGACTGGCAGTGTTTCTTTAGTCTGTGTGAGGTTATGGTGTATACCACCATGGCCAGCTTGGGACTATGGAATTCTTTGTAATTGTGATTTTAAAAATACTTTCGTCATGATTTTTTTTTTTTAACCAATCCTTCTCATGTTCATTGCTAACACAAAAGAACACTGTTGCTATTCCACAGTATGAACACTGGAGGGAGTACAATTAATTTTTATGTCGTATGGTGAAGGGATAGCTTGTAGCCTAGAAGTATTTCCTTTGAACTAGTTTAGCATAGCTTTCTTACCTGAAATTAGACTGCCTAAAGTTTTAAATAAATCCTTAGGTTTTCTTAAAAAAATCTTCACGCCTAGTCTCATATACTTAAGTGATTAATAATAAGAAAACAAAAGCAAAGGTGGTCTATAGTTTACTTAGCATCATTATCCCTTGTTGAATCTGAGCAAGATTCTGTTACTCCTGCATTTTAACTTTGTTTAAGCTAGATTCACTTTTGAAAAATTAAGTTTTGAGTAAAACTTCCTCTCCTCTCTCTCCCTTCCTCGCCCTCTCCCTCCTCCTCCTCCCTCTCTCTCCCTTCCTCGCCCTCTCTCCCTCCTCCTTCCTTCCTCTCTCCCCTTCTCCCTCCTCCCTCTCTCCCTTCCTCGCCCTCTCTCCTCCTTCCTTCCTCTCTCTCCCCCTTTCTTCTCCCTCCCCCCTTGTTGTCCCTCCTTCCTCATCCTCTCTCTTCTCCCTCCTTTCCCTCTCTTCCTCCTCTTTCCTCCCTCTCCCTCCTTCTCTCCCTCTCCCTCCTTCTCTCCCTCTCCCCCTCATTATATAACCAGGCTGGCCTTGAACTAGCTGCTGTGTGGCCCAGACTGATGTCCCTCCTGAATCAGCCTCTTGATTGCTGGAATTGCAGGCATGTGCCGTCCTGCCTCCCATTTAAAAGAAATCATCAATTTGTCCATAGTTCCAGCACTTGGGAGACTAGGGCAAGAGGTATCAACCTGAGCTCAGTGTGGGTGAAAAAAGAACATGCTAGGCAAAGTAAAAAGGTTTTCTCAGGGTTCAGCCATTTACATTTATTTTTTTATTTTTTTATATTTTTTGAGACATGATTTCATTTAACCCAGGCTGGCCTCTAACTCCCTATGTAGCTGAAAAGGACCTTGAATTTCCCAGTCCTCTCTTCACCTCCTGAGTGTTAGAATTATAGGCAGGCATCATCATGCCTGACTTTGTGCGGTCGCTTACTAGGCATTGAACCTAGGGCTTTCTGAGGGCAAGCACCAAACTGAGGTACATCCCCAGCCCTCAGAATTTACTTTGTTGTTCGACAAGAGTCTCCCTGGTTCCAGCCTACCTGGAAGTCATTATGTGGACCAGCCTTGCCTCAGTCTCACAGAAATCCTCTGTTTCTCTGCCTCTCTGCCTCTACCTCCTGGGGACTGCAATTAAAAGGCGCATACCACCACGCCTGGCAGAATTTGCTTTATGTTAACCTGTACAGAAAATGATGATTTTCCTTAAAGCATTTTGAAATAGTTTTTCTATGAAAATCGTAGGGATGATTGAGAATCATTATCTTAGCATTTACTGAGCAAGATGAAAAGTTCCACCATATAGATGGGAGACTGAAACCAAAACTTAAGGCTTCAGCCTGGGAGGTCAGGCTGATGTCCAGGTCAGTCTAGGCGTGTGCCTGATGGGGACATAGGTGTTCAGAGATGAGCTCATCTCCAGTGGGTCCATGGTACACCTCTTTTGCAGACAGGACATTCTGTGAGTTATTCATCAAAACAATGACACAATACCAAGGTGGACAGGAAACATAGCGGCTGGTCTTTTAACATTGCCTGCACCAAGTTCATGCCCACTACCCTCTGCCCTCCTGTGTGTCCCCCACTCTCCATTTGTTTGCCCATCCTGTTTGCGAGCTGCCTTCCTTGCCCCTAGCACATTCTCTGTGAGTCTCAGCTTGGCAAAATCAGACAACACAAACATATGTACACACATACACACACACACACACGAACACTGAAGGGAGTCTTGTTCAAACAGACAACAGCACACACACATACACATACACACACACACACACACACACACATACATGAACACTGAAGGGAGTCTTGTTCAAATAGACAACAGCACACACACACACACACCCGAGACACTGAAGGGAGTCTTGTTCTGTATCTTTGCAAACTTGAGTGGGTAGGTAATCACTAGTCTGACATCTCTCTGGGCCTCAGCTTCCTCACCTTTAAAGCTAAGGATGATTTTCCTCCCTTTCCATCTCCCTCCTGCTGAGCTTCTCCCTTTCTCTGCTTTGCCCTAACATATTACCCTACCCGTTTTTCTTCCCTCTGCCTCTCCAACTTTGTTTTCTTGGGTTAGTCCTCCCTAACCTCCCTGTTTGTGTGTCTCCCATTCTTCTCCCCTGGCCTCTCATTTCTCCATCCATCTTTTCATCCACTGACAGCACCTCATAGGAACTTTGGTTACTACCTCTGTTGCCAGGGATCTGGAACTGCTGCAGATCATAGAGGAAGAGACTCAAATTTTTGCACATGCATAACATTTAGAAAATACACACTCCTGTCAGTTTTTTTTTTTTAAAGGGAGAATTTGTATAGGTGATGTGTAATTGATTAAAGGTCAAGTGAGTATGAATAATCCATTACATCTGGTCATCTAGACAGCAAGCAGTTGAATGTAAGGCAGCTTTTCCTACTTCTAATTTTGGTAAAATTGATTTTTAATTCTTCTGCTTAACTTTTTTTTTTTACTTTTTTTTTAAATTTTGGTTGGGGGGCATGTATGGGAGTCAGCTCTTTCCTTCTACCATGTGGGTCCTAAGTATTCAAGTCAGGTCATCAGGCTTAGTGAAAGTGCCTTTACCTGCTAAACCATCTCCCCAGCTAAACTATCTCCCCACTGAACATTGTTCTGTGACTCTTGGTGGACTATTGCTGTGTAAAGCATTACCATTCCTACTTGATCAAAATTTGGTGGTTTGTTTTTTTTTTTTCCTTTTGGGGGGGTATAAAGTTCTGAGGTAAAAGGTTTAGTATGAAGATCATTAAATGTGGATCAGCTGGTATATTGTTGATTAACTAGTTAAATACTTAGAATGATTAAAAATCCTGTCATTTTCAATTCCTCATTAGGTAACACTTTACCTGTGTGTCCTACCTCTTAATATTGTCTTAGGTCCCTAGAACAGTGCCATCTAGTAGAAATTTATTGTGTGCCACATGTGTGATTTCAAATTTCTTACAAGCCACATTATGAAAAGAAGAGGGGCTGGATAGAGGGCTCAATGGGTGAGGGCACCTGCTGTGCACTCACATAAAAAGCTGAATATGCATATCTGTGGTCTTACTGCTGTGAGGGGCCAAAACAGGAGGATTATCAGGCCTTGTTGACTGCCAGCCTACCTATGTGTTCAGTGAGAGACCCTGTCTCAAAGGAACAAGGTGGAGGAGAGTGATGGAACAGACACCTGACTTCTCTGACCTCCCCATATGTGCACACAGGTGTGCACACCCAAACACATACCTGTACCACATAAACACATACACCACAAGCACAAACAAAGTAGGAAAAAAATCCAAAAATTTAATCAAAATACCCTATTTAGTATATAGAATGTTTCCACCTGTAATTATATAAAAATTACAAATTTTTTCACATTCTTTTTTCATACTAAGTCTTCCAAATCCAGTGGGTATTTTTACTCATGGCTTAATAAGCACCTAATAAGCACTTACTACTAACCTGCTTTCACATGCTCAGTAGGTACATTTGACTGGCTATTTGTGATACATAGTATAATCTTAGAAAATGGTTTTAATAAAATTTTTAACTTAAAAATCAGATGTTTTGTCTATGTGTTAAGTGTTTTAGGTTTTTAGAAACATTCAAGTTACTCTTATGTTGACTTAGTGAGCAAGCTTGCAAGGAAATACTGGGAATTAATTAAATGTTGCATTGTCATACTCTTGAAGACTAGTTCTGTTATTTATAGAGTGCTGAGCAGGATTCCTCCCAGACCTGTGAAAAATACTGGGTTATGCCAGTATGATAAAGTGAAAAATATTTAGTAATTGGACTGTACAAACAAGGCTGACTTTGGGAAACTCACTGATGCCACAAAATATATGCAAGTCATTTTCCCTACCTGATTAGTTTACATAAGGTTGTTTTCTCGATATGGATCGCTGTTTTCATTTCTACAAATGAGGATGTGATTGGTTTAAGGAATCATTAACTCAATCCCTGTTCTGTATGATGGAAGCTGCAGTGACAGTCATGTGATTGGGCAGGACTTGGTACCTATCAGTGTAAACATATGGCACAGCCTGTCCCATGCCCTTCTTATCACCTTTGGTGAGAGGGGTTGAGGCATTTTGAGCAAATCTCATTGGTAAAGTTGTGTATGCATTGCTTTTTTTAAAGACCCATTTCCTTTCCGTTTTAACCATATCCCCGTGTCTGTAGACAGCAGAGCAGCTTTCTGTTTGGTGCCTTCTCTGTACAAAGACATGCTTGATATGCATCTTCAGTTTTAAGATGTTTCACTTAGAAGATAACAGTGAAGATGAGGAGAAGGTTCAGGAAAACTTACTAAGTCAAACTGCAGGTGTTTACCGTGGCAAGGCCCCTCCTGGTATTCTGGTAAGTTCCATCCACCCATGCCCTGTTCCCCTGCTTGAGGCTCAGTCGGGGTAGTACTGACAAGGGACAGCCCCCACCAGATGGAAGTGGTTGGTGCCCCTTCTTTGGAAAATGTGATGTTGTGGTAAATTTTATTAACCTTCAAATGTTGTGTTGAGCAGAGATCTTTGGCTCCCTGCTCTCCCTCCTTGCTGTCTTTTTACTCTCTGATGGCTGTTAGTAAATAACTGTCTGCCTAGGAAAAAAATGAAGTTGCTTTAAACAGAACTTTCTAAATGTATTAGTTAATAATTCTCCTTGCATCTCAGTCTAGTAGTTGAGGGGTTAGAAGTCACTTAAAAGTTTTAAGGTTTTTTTTTTTTTTTTACTTGTCCTAGCCAAATCTTTTGTAAAGCTAAAGTAATATTCTGAAACTGGCAATTTATTTGCTCATGTGATATAAAAGAGTAACTAGCTTTTCCCCCCTGTGACTATAAACAACAACAACAACAAAATGTTTGAAATGTGTGGGAAAAGAAAGTTGCCTGAATTTCTAAAAAGCTAGTTTTCTTTTCTGGTACAAGATACAGGCTAGAACATCATATGTTTAATTTGATTCTACCTATAGAACCTTTTTTTTTTTCAATAAAAATAATGCAAAGTGGGGCTGGAGCCATGGCTCAGCAGTTAAGAGCACTGGCTGCTCTTGCAAAGGACCCAGGTTCGGTTCCCAGCACCCACATGGTGGCTACAAACCATCCATAAAATAAATATTTTATTTATCATTTTTATTTTATGTGTATGAGTGTATTGCCTGCACATATGTAAGTGCACTCATACTGCGCAGTGCCCATGGAGGTCAGAAGAAAGTGTCAGATCCCCTGGAACTGAAGTTAACAGTTAGTTTAGCTGCCATGTGAGTGCTGGAAACATGAACCTGGGTCTTCTTCTGCCAGAGCAGACAGCACTATTAACCACAGAGCCATCTCTCCAGCCTTTAAGTAGCTTAGTCTGACCTAGAGCTTACTGTATACTCCAGGTTGTCCTTGAACTCAAGATCCTCCTCCTTCAGCCCTCCTAAGTGTTAGGATTAGTGACATGTACCACCAAGCCCAGTTTAAATGCTTGGTCTATAGGTAAGCTAGAAACTAAACAATTTTATATTTCAAATACCCAGAATTTCCAAAATAATGTACTGATGTAGTTTCTCCCCATTTACTTTAAATTACCTTGATTACCTTTTTAAAAAGAAAATTAAAGATGAATGTTTGTGAAAATAAGCATAAAGCCAACAAAACAAAAAAAGAATATTTCTAAAATCTTAATAATCAAGGTGATTTTAGCTTTAAAGGCATAAACATGCTTATTGTCACTTTAGAGGTACCATGTTCTGTGTGTTTTGCTTCTGGATCTGTAGTTATACCTGTATTTATTCAAACTTTTCAAATACTAGTGAGAAAAACATCATTTGAATATGAACAGAAGTCAGGTGCTACTGAGAGAGGTAGTTTTATTTTGAAACCTTATTTAATACATAGTTCGTGTGTATGTGAACCTGTGTACATTTGTGGTAAAGGCTAGAGGAGAGAGCATTTTTAAATCCCCTGTTGTAAGTAGCCAACACACACTGTCCATCCCAGAACAAACTTCTAGATTGCTTGCTGCTGGTATCTGGTCTGTTCCAAAGGGAAGTCAAGGAGATGTTCCATGAGTCACCTCACCCCAAGAGGATTTTCTGAACGGCTAGTAGCTAGGATACTAGATTTGATATCTGCTTAGTAAGCTATAATGGTTATCTAGGAGTGACTTTAGAACGTGGGCGTGTGGTAAAGAATCCTAGTTTCTAGGGTTTAAGCCTTTGATGACCTCAACTTTTATAAATCACATTTTAGTAGGTAAGAGTTTTCCCTTTTTGCCGCTGTTGTTTCTTTTTGAGACAGGGTCTCACTGTGTTGCCCTAGCTGATTTAGAATTCCCTATGTAGACTAGGTTGACTGACCTTGAACTCACAGAGATCTGCCTGTCTCTGCCTCTCAAGTTCTGGGGTTAATGGTGTATACCACCATGCCTAGCTAATACGTAAAGAATTTTGAAGGACTCCTTTTTCATGGTTTCATGTATTTGAAGTATTTATATATATATATATATATATATATATATATATTCATTAAAAAAAAAAAACCCTGAGAAGACTTTTGTGCTTGTTAGAAGTTGTAACTTTTCAAAAATCACATTTCTATAATTTTTAACAAGTAAAGATAATTTGTTTATTGTTGTTTTTCTTTTTGAGATGGAGTGGAGTCTTACTATGTATCCTGGCTGGCTTAGAACTATGTGTACGCCAGACTGGCCTTGAACTCACAGAGATCCATCTGCCTCTGCTGGGATTAAAGGCTGAGCCACCATACCTAGCCTAAGATAATTTATTTGGTAAGATAGAGGATAAGTACTTTTACATTCAAATATTCTGACGTTCCCTCTATTTAATTTTTAAATAAATGTTGATTATGTTGGTTTTGCTTTAAGCCAGAGGGTTTTGTTTTGTTTTGTTTCGTTTTGTTTTGTTTGGGGTTTTGGTTTTGTATTGAGACAGGGTCTCATTTTGTAGACCAGACTGACTTCATGCCTAGCAAGCTAGAGCTTTTTATAGGAGCTCTTAGCCAAATTCATATAGTAGGAAGTCTTCTAGACCCAAAATCTTTATGCGTTCCAGATCTAGAAGAAATTGTAGAGGCTAGCCAACTGAAATTAGAGATGGCCCAGTCACAGAGGGTGCCCAGACATATATTTTTGGGCAGAAGTAAGACATGACCTGAGGGGACTATGAGGAGCCCAGGAAGAAGAGCTCCTCAGTCCTCCCCTAGTTTTTTATCAAAGGATCTGGGCCCTACTGATTGACTCCGCACAAACAGCGGTAGGATGTAGCAGGTCACCCTACTTTAGGCATGTACATGACCTTAGAGTATGTTATACTAATTTAGACAATCCTGAGTCTACCCGGGCTTCTGAGTGGGGCAACAAAGCCCCAGCCTTAGCACACACTTGTTACTCCATAGTTTCTCCCTAAATTTCTAGAACAACACTAGGCCAATAGATCCAGAATTCATCATGCTGTAGAACATGATGGTAGCAATCTAGTAGTCACTGTTCACAAAAAATATTTAGTGGAGTTTCATCACAGAAATAATGTTGTTAACTATGTCATCATTAATCACAGAACTGAATTAACCAGAGTACTGAATCTTGGACGAAGGAAGGAAGAAGGAAGGAAGGAAGGAAGAAAGGAAGGAAGGAAAGAAGGAAAGAAGGAAAGAAGGAAAGCAAAACTAGTTTCTTTCTTCATGACCAAAATTTTTTAGGAAAACATGTTTGGAGTTCTATTTTCAAGGTCCTCTTGCAGCTCCTCCCCCAGCCGGTACCCATGAGAAGCGTGAGAATGATGGCTTTCCTCCTCTACCTCAGGCCTCTTTTTGGTTTGTTTAATAACCACATGACTAGAAGAAGCATTTTATTACAGCTTTAACATATTCAATTTGGAGGAGTACTAGGTGTTGATGCCCTGCAGGGGTCCTTGCATCTCAGTTGTCTGGAACACATACATAAGGTGTGCTTTGATAGGACCTCTAGCCAAGTGACACAACGTGCAATGATGAAAGCCTCGTAAGAGGGTATTGAGCCTGAGGCAGCACAGGTGGGGAATATCATTAGTGAGGCAGTTTGGGAGAGCACATCTCCTGAGCACTTGCTTTCTATAGCATTGTGCTGGATAGCTTTAATGTCAACTTGACACACCTGGGTTGAGGGAGCCTCAATTGGAGAATTACTTCTATTGGACTGGCCTATGGCCACGTCTGTGCGGCATCTTCTTGATTGTTGAGTGATGTGGGAGGGCCCAGCCCATTATGGGTGGTGGGCCTGTATTGCATAAGAAGGCAGGCTAAGCAGGGGCCAGGAGAGCAAGCCAGTAAGCAGTGTTCCTCCACGGCCTGTGCTCTAGCTCCTGCCTCCAGGTTTTTGCCCTGAGTTCCTACCTTGGGCTCCCTGATGAACTGTTACCCGGGAGATGTAAGCTGAATAAACCCTTTCCTCCCCAAGTTGGTATTGGTCATCATGAAGAATCAAACTAGAACAAGCATGTTTGCCTATTTTTAATCCTGGTCCTGCAGATGAGCTCAGGATTGGGGGGGTTGGGGGCATGAATATGTTGAAACTGTGTGAAAATTATTTTTTTAACATTTTATTTTTATTTTATGTGTATGAGTGTATTACCTGCATATATGTGAGTGCACCCATGTCGTGCAATGCCAAAGAGGTCGGAAGAGGGCTTCGGATTCCCCTGGAACTGGAGTTAAGGACGGTTCATAGCTGCCATGTGGGTGCTGGGAATCGAGCCCGGGTCCTCTGTAAGAGCAGTCAGTGCTCTTAACTGCTGAGCCATCTCTCCAGCCCCGAAAATTATTATTTTTATATTTATACCCCATCTGTTTTCAGTAAGGAAAATCTTAGAGACAGGTTATAATTAAAATAGAAATACCCACTGCCTTCACCAAACTATGCAGTACATGACTAAACCTGTTGATTCAAAGGAAACAGTTAATTCAGCAAATGTTTATTGTGCCATATGTTACATACTTACAAATAACTTTTGTTTGTATTTACTAGTATTTTTGAATGATTTGCTGATATGGGTTCTGAATAACATAACATAGCTGGAGAGATTTCCAGCAAATGGCAGTATTATTCGACTTACCACTTTCAATTTGTCCCAGGTACATTCTGGTTGCTGAGCTCTCACTGATGTGGTTGGAGTGCCTATTGTTGTGTTGGCCAGGATCAGCCAGCTTTGTGCCTAGGGAAAACCCTCCCTAATCTCAACACTGTGCCTTTTAGTGCCCTGAGAAGTAGGGCTGCTGGCTTGGTCTGGAAGGAATTGCACACAACTCTGATTTTATGCCATTTGTGTGTTGTTATTCTAATACAATTCCAAGATTACAGAACCAACCCAGTACTGGAAAATAAAA